ACACACACACACACACATACCCAACCCAAACCGGGACAAAACTTCATCTTCCGAAGCCCACATGGCCCGGCGGCGGGGGGGAGGGGGCCAACAACACCACCCATCACACACACACACGCTTTCCTCGCACCCTGAAACGCGGGTCCAGAGGCCAGTCGCAATGCACGCATAGCCAACGAATGCAGTGTAGAGGTGAACAAGAAAAGAACCCCCCAGTCTAGTCAGCATGCCTGCACGGTGTCAAACGATGGGCGAGGGGGGCGTTTACAGCCTTGTATTGGGTGGGTGGGCGGATAAGTCGGGGTGGTAGGTGGTGAGGGCGGGCGCTTAAGGGTAAGTGGGGAACGGGTAAGTAGGCAGATTACGCTGGGCATTGGCTGTAATGTGTTGCGTATGTGCGTGCTGCATGTGTGCCTCGGGACTTTTTTCTCGTAAAAAAAAAGTGGGCAATGCAGTACCATGTTGCTGCTGCTGCTACTGCTTTGTTGCTGTGGTGCGAAGCGCCCGTGGGATGGGGATGAAGCAAGGGGGCGCGGCTTCATGCGACTGGCTGGTTAGTTGCCTTTGGCGGCCTGGGTGTTGGGGAAGAGACAGGACAGGACAAGACAATGATACGCGCGTATATTTTTAGCAGCACCCGACGGCGGCATGGTGATGCATGGACTGCGACGACGAATAGAGGTTGCAGTGGCCGCGAGTGGAATACTAGCCACTCGGGCTGATGGCTTTGCGACAGACAAGCCACGGCCATTCTGTTCAATGAACTTGTGGTCTGATCGTGCGCGCCAGCCCCTTGCCGCTCGCTGCATCCAGCACTGCCACTGCCCCTCCACCGAAAAAGCAAGCCGCCCGCTATACAGCCTGATTGACCCCCACATCCCATCGTATTGGCAATCATGGCCTTCTATTCATAGTACCTTCACAGAGCACTGCACACAACTTTACACACGTGCTAATGCCAACAAGTCGTGAATTCGTTCAAAGCAGAAATAGAATTATGTACCTCCGTACCCGATTCATTCATCCATGCTCATAAACCCTAGTGCCCCGCGCCAGAATTGAAACCCCATCGTCATCGGCATCATCGTCCCAAAGAAAACACGAAACCTCTCTTCCTTCTCCACCCCGGGTATGCTCGTCATAATCATCAAGTCATTAGTCCATACAGGCTATATCCTCGTTGCAGACTGTAGAAATCTTGTAAGTCGTTCCGCGTCACAGTGAGACTTTTCCCACCAAAGCGTGCTGGAGCGTCCAGGTCCTGTGTCGGCAACCCAGAGACATTGCAACAACGCCTTGATCGAGTGAGCAGTCCACTCGCCGACACAAGTGGACTGCATTGTCGTGGACCCAAATACTGGCTTAAGACTAGTAGTCTTCAACCCGCAGATCCGGCAAGCAAAGAAAATCATGCAAATAACTGCTCTCACACCCGCCCTCTAGTGGTATCGGCTGCGGCGGCTGTCAAAGTGTAGATCAGTTTCGTAGTACCGCTCGTCGTAGCCCGATGTCGGCCTAGAGCTGTGGATGGATTTGCGCTCAATTTCAATCTCCCGGATGCGGCTCTTGCGCTTGCGGCGGATTTCATCCGAGAGCTCTACCAGGTGCAGCACGTCCTCCTGTGTAGCGTTAGCAACCTGCCATCTCTTCGACTTGTTCCATAACTTACGTATCTGAGATACTCCATCACGTAGAAGAAGTCATCTGTTTCCTCGCATGCGTAGCCCATCGAGTCGATGGCCTCCCTGATGACCAAATCTTTGGTGATTTCGGTCCACATGTCCTTCTTGCGTTGCTTGACGGCGCCCTGGTTATCACAGTCAGTGTTTTGATCATAGCCGATACAAGAATTTAAATGACGTACATGCTGGTGGTTAAGGTTGATGTCAATGTCAAGCTCCTCGAAGGCGCTCCTTCCACGTCCACGGCTGTGGCTTCTAGACGTGTGTTAGCAGTTGTGTGTGTGGTATCCAGACGGCATACATACTCTCTGCGGTTGATCTCAATCTCGAGGGTCTCGTTTACTGGTGGGGGAGGAGATGGAGGCGCCGGTGGGGGAGGAGGTGTTGGGGAGCGTGCTCTGACGACACCTACAAAACAGTCAGTACCAAACCTGGATCTTGCAAGTGCACAACTTACCGTGGTCAATGTGCCTGTGGTGGGTGATGATCTCCTGAATGATGGGAGGGCGGATTTCTGGTTCTGGAGCTGGCGGTGGAGGTGGGGGAGGCGGAGATGGAGAAGGCGAAGGGGTAGGAGCACGCTCTTCCTTGCGTCTGATGATGATCTCGTCTCTTATGACTTCGCGGTTGTTCTGAGGCGGGGATTCTGCGCGGGGGCGACGGATGACAAACTCCTCGCGCTCGCGAGCAACCAGCTCGCCGCGGTTGCGTGCTGGAGGTGGAAGACTCCTTTCGCGGCCTCGGATTGTCAAGGAACTCCGTTCTCTGCTGGTGTCCCTACCATCACGGCTGAATTCTCGGCGGTTTGCACGAATCTCAAAGTTGCCGTCTTTTTCCTGGAAGCGGATAGAGCCTCGCTCAGCAGACACGTCGCGGCCATGGCGACTGATCTCGCTGCGAGAAGCGCGGATGTCGATGTCGTCGCTAGTGCGGCCTCGGAAACGCACTTCGTCATCATCCACCTGACGTGGGGCAGGTCGGCTGACGGATCGGACCGGGGGCCCATCACCACGGCGGAAGACGATGTCATCACGCTCGGGGGGACCGCGCGACTGCTCGCGGCGTCGGATTGTGATGTCGTCGCGCTCAACCTCGCGCACTGACGAGGCTGGTGGTGGGGGACGGCTGCGAGTCGAGCGTACGTCATCGTCAAAACCACGAGCACTGCGGGGTCCAGACCTAGAGAAGCTGTCGTCGTCACGGCCTCGCATTACCAGCGGACCAGCGGTTGGGCGATTGTAGTCTTCGCGCAAGAAGTCAGGCATGCTGCGGCGGGGGTCAGCGCCTACACCACTGCGGCGCAACTCGAAGTCGAGCTCGTCATAGTTGCGGTCACTGCGGTTGCCGTTGCGGTAGAAGTCGCGCTCTCGCTCTTCATAGAGCTCTGCGGTGGGGTAGCGTCGCGACATTGCGCCGGTGAGCAGCAAGCAAGCGACTTCAGGGGAGGGGATGTAGAGGGGGGGGGCGGTAAGTAGTCGAAGTAATAACAGTGGTGTGGTGGTGGTGAGTGGTGAGTGTGGCTATGGCGCGGGGTGGTGAGCCACTCTCTCTGTCTCTCTCTTTCTCAGGCGCGACTGAGTGCGGATGAGCTGGGAAAAGGAGACGGGGGCGGGTGGGAAGAAAAGAAGAGGGCGGGCAAGGTAATGAAGAATAGGCTGTGCCGTGGCCTGACGTTATCGAGAAGACGGGCCCAGTTGGAGTGCGTGGTGGGCATGCATGTAGTGGGGTGGGTAACAAGACCAAGGTCGGGCGCGCGCTCAAAATGCCCATGACGTAACCTCCACGCTACGCCAAACCACCCTCCCTGATCACCAGGATGCATCCTGCCCTTTGTGCCCAATCGCGGCGGCAGACGCTGCCCTTTTGGCCCAGCTCGCAGCAGCCCGCCCGCCATGTGCACTGCCGGCTGGAAGGGCCTCGCCGGCGAGCGTGAGGGTGAGCAGAAGAGATTTTGCGGCCGTGGTGTTGAGGCCACGCCGTGCTGTCTGAGACGGGGCCTGTCAGCTGTCGTCAGTCACGCTCAGCCCAGCCAGCACAGATGCGAACAAAGGCTGCCACCATTACCGCCAGCTCGAGTCGGTACCGCGCGTTCGCACTACACCGAACCAGCCATGTCCCACCCCTCCGGACACATGTCAGGCACCTGGAGCCGCTGCCCCCAGTCGCTACCTGATGTCGAACGACGGCCCCAGGAACACCACCTCGATCCAAACCCAGGCCCAACTTGAAGCGGCCCGATCGACACGCCCCAGGCCTCGACCGACCCTCTGTCCTCGCTCAATCCTCCGCCCGCTGAGATCTTCATGCCCAACTGCGAGCCTGCGACGGCATCTCCGCGTCGACCCGCATGTCCCGCGTCGAGCATTTCCTGGTCTCGACGTCAAGGGCCCAGCTGCAAGCACCTTCTCTACCATTCTACTGTAGACGTACGCATTCTACACCAAACCATATGCATGCTATTAATCCCTCGCTCATATTGCCCCGACCCAACTAACATGCTGACATGTGCACTTGGCTTTGCCCTGGCCCCTGTCCTGTCCGGCATTATATGCGGGATGACGTTATGCGGACACGACTTCCCCTCGGACTGCTGTTGCGCCGTCCAGGCTGGTTTTCAACAAGATACTTGCTTGTTATCCTGTCGACCGGAAGAGTCAGGTTTATCAGTATACTCTACTGTAATACAAACATACATAATTTCTATTGCTGCATGTGTCGGTCATGGCATCCAGGGTTCGGATGGCACGCGCAGGAAGTTTCTAGAGCACGACCCGCTTCCTGCAGCCAAAAATGCGTCTAGCGACAAGCGACCATCCCCATACCGTGTTGCGCCAAAGATGCAATCCAGGTGTTCGCACGACTGCCGTCTGCTAGTCTTTGCTAATCAACTCAGTAAAATACATATCAGCCCACTCATGCCGTGCTTCCAAACCTAGACCCCATCGTTGCTGACGCCAGAAATCTTTTGCACACAGCACTACAACCCACGTCTCATTACCTGCAATGCTCTACTACACACAACTGAGATGGCGTGGCCATACACAAACATTCGTTAATATGCTTGGCATGTACAGCTTACATCCTTTGGTCAATTCCGTAGACACCCGGATGTCTGTACCTGTTTGCCCTCCTAAGCAATATTCATCGTCCGAGAACGGTCTTCCGGGACCCGAGAACCTGAACGTTAAGTCATCTATGCTTCTATTAATTCCCTTTTCAACAGTCCCCAGTGTGTTCAAGTAGAAGACTATTCAAGTAAGAGATGTACAACTGGTTTCGGTATTGAGCTTTCCAGTAGTCATCAAAGTGTACCAAACTCCGTTTTGTTTGTCCCTTCACACCGCTGGTCAACTCCCCTGCCATCACCCATCTTGTTTATGACATTGATTTTGAAGTCTGATCTTAGGGCATAATTCTAATTTATGATGTTTGTGCCACAAGTTTCTCACAAATCAGCCACCCCGTGCTTCTTACAGCTATTGGACTCGCATGTCTCGCATGTCTCACATATCACGTGACGCGTTCTGTTTGCTACGACGACGCTGTGCCTTCCTAGTCTGCGGACGAGGTCATGGCAAACAACACTTCACAACTGAGTCTTAAATTCCAAGCCGGCGAGCGTGAGCATCATCAACCCCAAACAGCTTCAACTGCCGTGTATCGCCGTCTTGTTCAACGCAGTCCTTGGCTTGTCCATACAGCCAGACAGTTGCTAGACAAACATGGTACGCCGCTCTGGAAAAAGGTCAAATCGTGTCAGCCACTCGGGAAGTCGTAGCGCGGCTTCTCGCAGGGGTCCCAAAACAAATTCTGCCAATGTCTATGCAAGCCTGGGCGAAATGGCAGGGAGTGGTGAGTTCGCTCTCTTTCAGACAACACCAAAAACGCATGCCAGTTGTTGTATTCCCGCTGCTTCTAACCCAAGAGTCGCCTCGATTTTCAGCATCCTAAAATCAGGAGAACACGTGCTGATCATATGTTAGAAGCGGAGATGGACTCTCACTCCCTCCCAGAGAGCTCTCTGCTCGACGAGAACATTCTCATATCTGGCACATCCCGTAACAGCAACGAGATTTACGAGTATTTTGAGCGCGCCAAGAGGCCAGTTATCGGTGGGGCATGGCTTCAGCAACCTGAGATTCCAAACTCTTCCGAAGTCCTACGTGACAAGTCCGGCTTCACCAACAGCGAATCACTGATCGAACTAAACGATCACGTTCGCCCACACAAGGTAGAGGGTGCATACGATGACATAGAAGACTACTTGAGAACCTTGTATGAGCTACTGCGCGAAGACACTATTCGTCCTCTCCGGGAGGCTATTGATGAGGTCCGCACCGACCCTTTCAAAGACGAAGCAGAGTATCAGAACCAAAGCATCGGCATCTATGAATCCGTCTACATCAAGTCGCTTGTACTATCCCCCAGAGGCTTGGCGACAAGAGTTGCATTCTCACTCGGACGGGCCAAGAAGCATGTCAGGTGGGTTGCAGTACGACCAGAGTGTATTCACAGCTAACATACTATAGATGGGGGCAGTCGAAGCGCCTCATCACTGGATCACTTGTCGCATTGTCTCCCACAGATGATGCCTTTAAGACACAGTGTGTTCTTGCCATTGTCGCAGCGCGTCCCATCAGTGCATTGGAACAAAACCCACCCACGATCGACTTGTTCTTTGCTCGACCCGAAGATCAAGAGATCGACCCTATGCGCAAATGGATCATGGTAGAGTCTAGAGCCAGCTTCTTCGAGGCAAACAGGCATACGCTATTGGCTTTGCAGCAACTGATGAGGGAGCCATTCATGCTATCAAAGTACCTTGTGTACGCCCAGAAGGAGGTTGACCCTCCTGCTTACATCCAGCACAACCCATATACAAATCTTAGCTCTCTTGTCAGCATGGAGGATGCTGAGGACTATGAGAATGTCAATGTGCTCCAGAATTGGCCTGCAGCGTCTTCTCATTTCCTTGACGAATCGCAGAGCAGAGCACTGAAGCGTATGCTCACAAGCGAGTTGGCTATCGTACAAGGCCCTCCCGGTACAGGAAAAACGTTCGTATCTGTTGTCGCTCTGCAAATCGCTCGCGATAATTTGCGCAAGAAAGACGCGCCTATCATCGTCACCGCGCAGACGAATCATGCTCTTGACCAACTATTACGACACACATCCGTATTCGAACCAAATTACATACGGCTAGGAGGAAGGAGCAAGGACAACGATATAAAGAAGCAGACACTTTTCGAAGTCAAATCAAGGACACCACAGCAAAAAGGGAGTGGCAGCAGTATCAAGAAGAAAGCGTCTGGCAAGATCAAAAGCTTGACAACCGAATGCCAGAAATTGCTCGCTCCTATTGAAGCCAACAAAGGGCCACTTGATCACAGTTTGCTCTTAAAGTTTGAGCTGATTACTCAGAAGCAGGCAGAATCACTGGAGATGGACTCACAAGACGCCATAGGGATCTCGTCATCCAACCATCCAGGCATTCTGATAGAACAATGGCTTGGCAGATGTCTTGTGCCGTGCGACAGACCTACTCTCCCTGAGGATCTCGACTGGGACTATGAAGAACAAGATTTTGAAATCGAACAATTGCAGGAACTTGAGGCAGAAGCGGTAGCACAGGATGATGACGATATCGAAGCTCTTCGTGGACCTGTCATTGAAATCAGCGATAACTTCAAGGGTACTGGTACCTCTTTGAGTAATGCTGATATTCGGGACATCTTGCGCAAGAAGAATGATCTTTACACGATCCGTACGGCTGACCGAGGTGCGATCTATAACTTTTTCAAACGGGAAGTGAAGCGAATAATTGCAACGGAAATTCGCAAGATTGCAAAGATCTACCATGATAATGTTGTACAACGCAAGATCGGAGTGTTCGAAGAGAACGCACGTATCCTGCGCGGTGCACGTATTATTGGATGCACAACTACAGGTCTCGCAAAGTACCGGGCTCTTCTATCTAGCCTTCATCCGCGCTTGTGTATTGTAGAAGAAGCAGCTGAGACTCTCGAAGCGCCTGTGACTGCAGCCTGCTTCCCTAGCCTCGAGCATCTAATCTTGGTTGGCGATCACCAGCAGCTGCGTCCTCATACTCAGGTACGGGCCTTTGAAGACGAGCCATACTTTTTAAACTTGTCGCTTTTCGAGCGCCTAGTTCGGAACAATATTGTGTTCGACACGTTGACGCGCCAGCGTCGCATGATACCAGAAATACGGCGTCTCTTATGCCCAATCTACGAAGACAAGCTCAAAGACCATCCAAATGTGGAAAACATTGACCATCGTCCACCGGTTGAAGGGATGGGCGGAAACAACAGTTTTTTCTTCTGTCACGAATGGCCAGAGGACCGTGACATCTACATGTCTTCATACAATGCACGGGAAGCGGCGATGGTGGTTCAATTTCTCGATTACTTGGTTCTCAACGGTGTTGATGCTACCAAGATCACAATCCTGACATTCTACAATGGCCAAAGAAGACAAATAGCCCAACTTATAAGAATGAACCCAAACTTGGGAGTTTATCGAGGCATCCAAGTCGTCACTGTCGACAGCTACCAAGGCGAGGAGAATGATATTGTACTACTCTCCCTGGTTCGATCCAACAAGAAGAATAACATCGGCTTTCTCAGCTCTGAGAATCGCGCATGCGTGGCGTTGTCTCGAGCAAAACGTGGGTTTTACATATTCGGGAATGCCGAGCTTCTGGCTAGTCAGAGTAGTATATGGGGCAGCGTGGTCGAAATCATGTTCAAGAACAAAAAGCCAAAGGTCAAGGCTGGCCAGGAGCGACGAGTGGGGTACCACCTCCCCCTTGTATGCAGCAACCACGGGCGCAAGGTGTGGTGTGAAGATCCTGGTGACTTTGAACTCATCAAGGGCGGTTGCGACGCCAAGTGCGACGGAGTATTGCCATGCGGACATCGTTGTCCGTACACATGCCACCCGTAGGTGTTCTTTTTGCGATATCTTAAATATCCAGACTAACCTGTGCTAGCTTCGAGCACGATAGGATCAATTGTACACAAAAGTGTGCTAGGCGTGTAGAGAGATGTGGTCATCCCTGCGTTGGTACGTTTGAACTTTTTCCGAGCTTATGTAAGACGCCTTTACTAACGTTCGACAGCCGAGTGTTGTGATCCATGCAGGTGCCATATGTGCGAACGTCGAAGCGATGGTATCAAGCCTGTCTTGAAAGTGGGACCGAGAGGAGCTGCTTCCAGTAGTGGATCACGCTCCAACATACAGAACTTGAGCCTCGAAACCAAACTTGATGTTCCTAGAAGTTCTAATTATGGAATGGCTTTCTCGACCACACGCTCGGGAACGACCCTCATCTCAACTCCACCAGTTAAGGCAGAATGGCTTGAGATGGACACCGACTTGCTCATTGACCTTGATGCTGAGCCGCAGATTCAACCAGGCCAGAGTCAGCCGAGAAGCGATTATGCGAGTATTGCAGCACATCATACCAGTCAAACTCCTTATACGAACCTGCTTGACTAAGGGAGGGGGCAGTTGTGACGAGGCAATCGGGGGTCTGGAATGTTTTCAAAGCCGTGGTGGAAGGACTGTCGTGTTTCAATGTGTTTTACCATAAATTTCAAGTCTTTGAGCAGATTTCTCTCAGGTGGTTTGATGTAGATGGATGGATTACATTATTAAAGTTTCGTGTAGAGGCTCTATGCCTGGGTATCTAGCTCTATCCATGGACGTGTGTATCTCAGTTCCCCTTTACTGTAGGCTCAGCCACTCGTGTCAGCATCCATTTTAACCTCGAATATCTGTCCTGCCAATTTGGCAACATCACCGCCAAGCCCAGCGAGCGCGGCCTTGATGTCGTTGATTGTTTGGGGCGCCAGGCTGCCCTTGCGCGAGTAGAAGTCTATACCTGCAGGTGTAAACAGAGTCTTGGCAAAGTAGGTAACGACCCAGCTGTTGCCGGTGCCTTGTTCGTCGCCATAGCCTAGTATCTCCCATTTGCTTGTCGCAATCACCAGCCATCCCTTGCCACGCCAGTTGTACCCCAGACTAGCGACGTCGCCTGCTCCTCCCTCTGCACCAGCTGGCGGTGCGGTGTTGGGCACATCAAAGGGCTTATCGACGCCATGCACCGTCTTGAGCGCATCCGAATTCAGACCCTGGTATGTGACCACATCATCAATCTGCGGCGGTGTGGTGGATGCAACAGGCGTGTATGTGATGCGGACGTTGCGGTTCTTCTTCCACATGGGTAGTGTGGAGTGCGTCACATTCCACGAGCCTGACAGCCACGACAACTGGGGCGGTGAGATTGAAGCGGAGGCTTCAGTTGCGGGGAGCGAAGACGGCGCGCGGAGGGTCACCATGGCGAGGACCGTACAATACAAATGGCTGGAGGAGGTGGTTGTTGTTGTTGTGGTGACGTGATGAAGTCGTCTTGGGGCAGCGGGCGATTGGACTGCGGAGGATAAGGACGCGTGGAAACTGGAGAATATTGTGGAGATGGAGGCTGAATAATATTGACAATCCGTTGCTGAGAGGTTGGTAGGACAACGATTG